TAAAATAATAATTTGTGTGTACTTTTTTTTTTAGCAATTAATGAGTATGCATTTGATATATGAAGTGTATTAAGTGGACTTAACTCTACTTTCATTAGTTTATACTTTGATTCTATACATACAAATAGATAGGATTGTCAAATGAATGAGTTGAGCTATATTTGAGAATGTCAAAATGAGTTGACATAATAACTGAGCAGATCATTAACCTACTTAAATACTTGGACTAAAGTAGATTGTGCTAAAATAAGCTAAATCATAATCCAACCCATATTCAATTCTTAGTAAGTTACAAATTCAAAGTTAGTTTTCTTTAATTTATTTGAGTACCTAATAAAATTCTCCTTTGTATAGTGACCATAAAAAAACATAACAAATAAAAAAAATTTAAAAAAATTTAGATAAAATTTCTCACGGATCAATTTGGATTTGAACTGCATGTCGGCTTTTGAAATGTGCTACACTAAACAGGTCAAAATGAACCCAATTAAGCGGGTTATTAAACCATTCAAACATAAACAGATCGGACTAATTATGATTTGGGCTAATTTCTATTCTATGCAATAAAATAATTAGTTTACAATAAATATAACCATAATTTATTTACATAAAAAATAGCCAAAAATCAAAGAAAGTATACATTGACCATACAATATAGCTTGCCAAAAGTCATAGAAAGTACACACTACTATACAATATAGTTTACCTATAAGCTATACATTATGATACACTCAAAAAACTGAAAAATAACATAACTATACATGAAGTATACACTAACTATACGAGTATACACCGACTATTCAATTTCGATCAACTCATAATCACCTCTAAACAGTCTCAAGTTTTAAATATGAAATTCTCTCGATTTTTCCGAATCTTTTGATAGGATAACATATATTTGGTCACAATACTAATAAAAAGGAGAAATGCTTACTACTCCTCCGAGCAAATAAGATATGTATGGATTCATGCATATATTCAACTTCTTGTCATATATTTTGAAGACGAAAAAAAAGTCCATAGGGAGGTCGTTTCGCCTTCAATCTTAAATATGAAGAATATGTTCTCATAAAATCTAGTTTAATCGGATCTAGCTACTGACAAAAAGGTATAAAGAAAAAGTGTGACAAGGATATAAACTTACCAAAATCTTTTAGGATGATTGATGGTGAAAATCTTTGTCCATGATACTCAGGGGCGGCTAAATGGATTGACTATCATAAATTTCATTAAAAAAAATTAAAATTTAAGACCCTCCGTTCAATTTTTGCTTTAGGTCACTGATATGTATGAGTCACCCCTTGATGATACTTTATCTCCATAATTTTTCATTATCCACACGTTAGAATTATTTCCTTCAAGAAATTAGGACAAAGCGCGGAAAGATCACTTCCCACCACTCCTAGTGTCATAGGATAACTCCTTCTCCATAACTCGGAAGTTCCAACCTTCTCCATGTCTCGTATGCTAAATCAAGAGAAATGACGTTACACATATTGAACGTATCAACATCAACAGATAAAGCCCAATAAAGTTTTTAGACAAGCAGGGGAAGAAGCCACAAGGAAACCTTTGCTCATTTCTTAAACCTCCAATATACAGTTTTGAGTACACAAGTTTTCTCTAAAGTATACAAATTAGTCGAGATTAGTTATATGAATCCTCGAAATCCATTTAGCTTTGGTTATATGAATCCTCAATCTAGAAACATTCAATATTTTAGATTAGACGAAAAACCATTATATCAAACACTGGATCTAACGTAAGTACATCAATACATAATTAGCATTTTGAATCCAAATGACAAATTCGATAATTTATCTGGAACGTAACTGAAATTTACCCTACTATCAAAAGAAGAAAATGATCACATTCCGTAATTCAGTCAAAGTTACTATCCAATTCTAACTTGATCTTTACGACTCGATCCTACAGGGACAAAGATGAAATTTTGGTACCTACCTTCTTGCCAGGATTGTAAATGCAGTAAACAGAAGGAATCATCAGTCTGATACTAAACATAACAGACATGATGGAGAAAACGAAACAGAACATGGTACAACGAAAGATCATTAATGTATCGATCACAATAAAATAAAAAACAGACATACAAAGGCTTCTATCTAAACAAAAGCAGGAACAACTATGCCTCAAGATGCATGCAAGTTGGACCTCGCACCACTATTATGTATCGTTGTGCTGGTTCACAATTCTGAGGAAAATTGAACAATACTAGTAAACTATATATTTTGTATATCATGCAACCTAGAGGAGAGGGAGGAATACTACACCTCAGCAGCCTTACCACGACACATCAGGGGTCACCTCACGGTGGACACAGCTGATATTCAAGCTTACAGAACCAAAAGATCAATGACTCTAATAGCAGACACCACAGTTGGATCAGTAATTCTGCGTAAACTCAATCTGGCCAAGTTAATCGTCTAATTCTAATTTACCAGAATGATGTAGGAAGATGACTTGCTACATTAATATTGGATTATGCAGAAAAGGTGCTATAACAAGTAACTGATAAAAAATTCTCTACTTAAGGTGAAATAAAAAAGGATTATGAATTTAATCTAGATTGATTCGAGGAGACAATTCAAAGTAAATTATTTCTAGGATAGATAGTGTAAGATTAGATACAGAGGCAAGAACTGATGTAATGCTTGTCCATCATCTTTTTAAAGATCGATTCATTGGTATAGTCTAAGCTGCCAGTCTGCCACTGATGAATGCTTGTCCTAATAATCAAATACAACATTGCGGCCAGAATAAAGAAATTTGATGCTCAGAACCTATAAAGTATAAACTATTCAGAAAGTAGTGAATCAAATCAGAAGTTTAGGAATTTGTTTTTCAATTAATTTGAGCTAACAAAGTCTTGTTGTAGGTTGTACGACTGTGGCAGGTTGATAGCTAGTGTAAAATTGTCATGGCAAGTCTTCTTACTTATTAATTAATTTGTTGGGATGTTGGGGTCGAATAGAAAGGAATAGTTGCGGAAGATTCATATAACCGTACTCAACTTTATTAGGACCAAGGTATAGTTGATTGATATGTCTACCATATCACAAATAAGTAAAAGGTTGTGTTCCATAGTTAACATTATCAATAGTCTAGGAGTGATAGTAAAGGAGTGTGCCAAGTCAAACATGGACAAATAACGGTACACAGAGAGAGTAGTAATTAAACTGTAAAATAGAGATGAAAATCCAATTAAACTAATTAAAGAATTTAATCGAAAGTATTTAAATAACACCTAAAAACCTATTAAATGGATAAATCCTAAATAAAATAAGCTAAATGACCAAAAAAAAAAAAAGAGAATGAAAAAATCTGCTTCAGGCTTGATGATGACTGCAATAGTTCCTCACTTTGCGTAGGAAAAATGGTACCCTCTTGGAGTGCGTGAACTCTTTGTAAAAGCAATCATCTGAAATTGTAGAAAGTACTTGGCAGCATTGTGTGGATAATGAAATTCTACGCTTGAAAACGGAAGTGATCAAATTGAATGCACAACCGTCCACCTTGATGCAAGAAGTGGTTGAAGCCGGGGCCGGACCCCAAGAGGGAGCCATGTGCGATGGAGAAACAACATCATCAACCGGGGATGGGGATGGAACCACATGAGTTGGTGAAGCCACATTATCAACTGGAGATGGAGATGGAGCCGCATGAGTTGGTGAAGCCGCATCATCAACGGGAGATGGAGATGGAGAAGCATGAGTTGGTGAAGCCGCATTATCAACTGGAGATGGAGATGGAGCCGCATTATCAACAGCATGACTACAATAGTTTCTCACTTTTCCAAGGAAAAATGGTACCCTCTTTGAGTGCGTGTACTCTCTGTAAAAGCAATCATCTGAAATTGTTAAAAGTCCTTGGCAGCATTGAGTGGATAATGAAATTCTACGCTTGAAAACGGAAGTGATCAAATCTAATGCACAACCGTCCACCTTGGTGCAAGAAGTGGATGGAGCCGGGGTCGTGTGTGGTGGCGAAACCACATCATCAACTGGGGATGGAGCCATATGCGTTGGTGAAGCCGCATTATCAATTGGAGATGGAGTTGGTAGTGATGGTATTTTTGGGTGAGTACGCCACCACCATCGGGGCCACAATCCAATTGAAGAAGTACCAAACGATTCTGTTTTGGGTTTGGTTGCAGTGACAGTAGCAATGCCTATGCAACCCAACAACAGAAACAAACATAACAATGTGGCACTTGTCGATGATGACGACATGTTTCAGAAGAAAGAATGAGTAATTAATTAGCTGAGAATTACAGGCGATACTTCCAAATCCTTTAAACTTGTATGAATAATACGGAGCAAAAGGAGTCGATATAAATAGGCAAAGAATCTAGGCGGTACTTCCCAATCCCTTTATACTTCAAATATCTAATTCTATCCAAATTTGGATTTCTGTTTATGTACAAACGCCAAAAACAATTTAAGGGATACTTAATCCCAATCCATTTATACTTCAAATATCTACTTCTATCCAAATCAGGATTTCTATATATGTCACGTCCAGTAGTCCAATTTTAATAAAAAATTATAGTTCAAGAATGTGTTGCAATCAAACTATGACGACTTCTCCTCAATCAAGATAACCGCCAAAAACATTTTTTTTTTAAAAATAACAACATTGAAAATATTTAGACAATTACCCTTCAAAAGTTAAGTGACCTTGAATGCCCATACTATAAAATATCACATTTCACCTAGCATTTGTCCTGAAGTACAAAGACTTCCATATCATTATAATAATTATTTATGATATAAAATCCAGAAAACAATTAGAAAAAAGTGAAAGATGTTGTTATCACAGACCATTTCCCTCCAAAAACATTGATCTCTTTGCCACGTAGCTTGGGGATCTCAGCCATGTCTAATAGGATATCATAAAGATAAGATCCATCAGCCGTTTCGCTTTCTCTATAAGTTTCTATTTTTGTTTCATGACCTTACAACATCATAAGTCTACGCAAACCTTACCCCTACCTCGACTATTTCTGTTATTATACTAACAAAAAATACACACAAAAGCTGCACCATAAGACTTATGGCTGAATCGATAATCTCTGTTCTTCCTCATGAAATCATCATAGAGATCCTCTTAAAGGTGCCACCAAAGTCTCTGTTGAAGTTCACGTGTGTTTCAAAATTATGGCTTGAACTAATCTGCAGCGCGAAGTTTATAAAAAACCATTTGGAATTAACAGCTAATGACAAAGAATACAAACACCACAGGATTATTTTTCAAGAATCCGCATGCAATTTTAAGTTATGTTGTCTCCGTTCCATGCTTAACAAAGAACGAAGCACTGAGCTATTTGACATTGGTTCTCCCATGGAAAACCCCTCTAGTTATACTTGGATTGTCGGCTCTGTCAATGGATTGATTTGTCTATATAGTAAGATAGAGGAGACAGTTCTATGGAACCCCGCTGTAAAGAAGTCTAAGAAATTGCCTACACTTGGAGCTAAATTGAGGAACGGTTGCTCTTACTATCTCAAATATGGTTTTGGATATGACGAAACACGTGATGATTACAAAGTGGTAGTTATTCAATGTATTTATGAGGATAGTGGTTCGTGTGATACTGTAGTCAACATATACAGTTTGAAGTCTGATTCTTGGAGAACAATTAATAAGTTTCTAGGCAATTTTCTAGTAAATTCTCCGGGTAAATTTGTCGATGGTAAGCTTTATTGGGCTTTATCAGCTGATGTTGATACGTTCAATATGTGCAACATCATTTCTCTTGATTTAGCAGACGAGACGTGGAGAAGGTTGGAGCTTCTGGATAGTTATGGAAAAGGTTGTTATCCATTGGCATTGGGAGTGGTGGGAAGTCATCTTTCTGTGCTTTGTCTTAATTGTATTGGAGGAAATAATTCCGATGTGTGGATTATGAAAGATTGTGGAGTTGAAGTATCATGGACAAAGATTTTTACTGTCGATCATCCTAAAGACCTTGGGGAGTTTGTATTCTTTACATCCATTTTCTCCGTACCTTGTTACAAGTCGAATAAGGATGAAATTTTACTTTTACTTCCCCCCATTATCATGACATATAACGGTTCAACCAGACAAGTAGAGGTTATTGCTGATCAATTTGAGGAATGTGCTGCCTTTCGGGATTGGATTTATCAGGTGATTCACACCTTTCTACTCAAGTTCTTTTCATGCTATAATTTCATTTTTACTCCGATTTCTACAATAATTCAAATCATAATCCCAATTGAAATCACAACAGACATTCTCTTAAGGCTTCCCACAAAGTCTATTGAAATGTATGTCTGTTTCGAAATCATGGTATCAACTAATCTCTAGCCCTCATTTCTTGAACACTCATCTCAAATTAAACACACATAAATAGAAATTACAAATTTTGTTCACTCCCTCACCTCTTTAGCAAACAACAACTCACTCAAAAGCTACTTCACATGGATCCACCCACTTTATCAGCTTTCTTTATGGGTTCTGTCAATGGGTTGATTTGTCTTTGCAATCATGAAAGGGAGACGTATATATAAAACCCCACCATTAGCAAGTCAAAGAAATTACTTAATTCGCCCATGGGTATCTTTTTCAATACCAAATATGGTTTTGGATACGATGACTCAAGTGATGATTATAAAGCTTTGTTTATTGATCATTGTTGTGATTCTTATAATGATGAGGTGTCCAACATGAGGATTGTCGTCAATATTTACAGCTTGAGGACTGATTCTTGGACAACACTTCATGACCAGCTTCATGGCATCTTTATAATAAATCATTCGGGTAAATTTGTCAATGGGAAGCTTTATTGGATTGCATTTATATGGGTATTGGTAATTACGATGTGTACAATATCATTTCTTTTGATGTAGCAGACGAGACATGGGGATGCTTGGAGCTTTCCGTTAGTGGAGAAGATAATTCTAATATCAAACTGGGAGTAGTAGGAAGTGCTTTCTGTGCTCTATTCTTGCCATCTAGGTACTACTACTTCTGATGTTTGGATATAACATCATGGTAAGAAATCTATATAGAAAGCCTTGTTGATCCCCTATTGATATCATGAAACCTCACAATCATTTGGCCGATAACTTGTAAGAGTTCTTCTTTATTTAGCATCTTCCGTCAGCTAGGTCAGATTAGAGCAAGAATTTTTGAGAATATTTTCCCCATATTCGGAGATAGGGAATGAAACGACCCCTCCATCTATTTACTGTCATCCAAGAATAAAAATGTTGTTGCACATCTTTTTTGTCAAATGTAGGACAAGACGTTGAATATGTATAAATCCATACATCACAATTCATATTTGCTTGTATACCTTGAAGTTCTTGTAAGAAATTCTCCTTTTTATTTCCACTAATTCATAAAACCAAAGGTTATGATCTCCTACAGATAAAATTTGTTGTCTTAATCAGTGTTTTAGCTAAAGAAACAGACTTGGATTGGATCCTTGTATAAAAATCTCCATTACAATATAGTTTTATACTAAAATTTATGAATTAACGTGCAATGTACGTTTCAAGAGACTAGTTTTCTTATAAATACAAGCATTGTGTCTCTGTTGGTATTACTAGAATATGAATCGATATACAATTATTCTCTGTTCTACTCTGCTACTGCCTCACTTTACAGAAAAGCATCCTTCCGCCTTTCACTGCTCTGCTACCAACATTTGTGATTGTTACCTCGTATACAAAAACATGTTTTTGTTTTTTTCTTTTCGAGATTGGATTCAGACCGTTCTACTCAAATTCTTCTCATGGTATGATTTTTTCTTCACTCCAACTTCTACAACTACTGATTCCGTAATCACAAATGAAATCATAACATATCCTCTTAAGGCTTCTCCCAAAGTCTCTCCTGAAATGTATGTCAGTTTTGAAATCATGGCATCGACTTATATCTAGCCCTGATTTTGTGAATGCACATCTCATATTAAACACACATCATAGAGTTCTATTTCCAGGCATCAATGGGAATTTCAACTTTAGTTCTCTCCTCCCTCCCCTGTTTAATAAACAACAAGTCACTGCTCACATGGATCCTCTCACTTAATCAACTTTCTTTGTGGGTTCTGCCAGTGATTTGTCTTTGCGATCACAAAGGGAAAGAATACATATATATATATAGGGAAAATTAGCAATTAAGTCACAATACCTAACATAATTAGTCAAAATAACAACACATTAAAATATTTATTTAAAATGTCAGAATGACAATATTTTAGAAAATAATATGTATTCAGATTTTAGTATTTAAAATTAATTTTATTTATGAAAACAGTCGTATATTGGACCAAATTCTAAATCAATAACCGTTTTAAAAAAAATAATTAAATCATTACCCATTAACCTTCCTTCTTCACCTTTCACTTTTCTACCCCCGTCTTTCACGTTTCTATCCCTTTTTTGACGTTTTCAGATTCTCTTTCTTCAAGGTGCTGACAAATTGTTCAGCAAAATATATATTTTAATTCAAGAAATTTTCTCGATTGTTAAACGAAATCTCTTTATTAATTCAAGAGATTTCTTGATTGGCAAGGTAATTTCCATTATTCATTTAGATTTATTTTGATTTGCTGTTTAATCACCGATTATGGTGTATAATACAACTTATTATATGTATTATGTATTCACCGAAAAGGTATTTCAATAACATTTTTAATTTACAACTAATTTGTATTTATTTTTTGAATACAACTTATTATATGTATTATGTATTCACCAAAACAGTATTTTCAATAACAACTTAATTTACAACTAATTTGTATTTATATATTATATATATTTCAAAACTGTATTTTTTTTTTTGCGTATTTGAACTATAATGCCAAAATATTTGTATTCATTATTAATCTATACCAATAGTTTTTGTATTTTAAATTGTACATATTCTAAGTGTTCAAACAAGTTAATTTCCAAAACAGAGGGCATTAGAAATTGAAAAACAATTCCACTCTATAAGATATCAATTACAAGCACAACTAACTAAACAATAAATACAACTTATTATATGTATTATGTATTCACCAAAATTGTATTTTCAATAACAACTTAATTTACAATTAATTTGTATTTATATATTATATAGATTTCAAAGTTGTATTTTTTTGTGTAATTGAACTATAATGTCAAAAGAGTTGTATTCATTATTAATCTGTACCAACGTTTTTTTATATCTGATTATGTAAACCTTAGTTTATGTCGAACTATCGTGAATTCCGTTGAACTGTATACTTTGTAGTAGTGAATTTTCTAAACCTTAATTTCAAACATATGTCGAATACAAAGCGAAGAAGATTGGATGAGATCAGTGTAATGATTTGTAAGGAAAAATATTGTTTTCAAAAACTGGAATTTTTAAGCAACAGAGGAAAAAAAACGTTCGGCCAAATAGTGGCGACCTATGCTCCTTCAATATGTAACTGATTTTAAATTTAAATTGTTTTTAATTTTTCTTAAATATTTTGTCTCATGATTTCTATTGTTTAATATTTGTATTCTTTCATATTAATCAAAATAAAAAAAAATACATAAATCAGAACTTAACAAACTAAAATATTGACATTTTAAATAAATAGTGAAACTATTGCTAAGGGATCCCATAAGAAGCTAAAATATTGCTATTTTGAAAAATTTCCCATATATATATATGGGACCTCGCTATTAGAAAGTTAAAGAATTACTTAATTCGTCGCGGAGTTCCTCTTTCTATATATATATATACTAGTTTCACGGCACGTGTGTATCATATATATAGTAGATGAATGTGTAAAATAGAATTAATATTACTAAATTAAATCTTTTTAATAAATTATAATTTAAAGAACATAGAACAAGTGCTTTTAAATGATTAATGCAAATTGTTATAGAGTTACTTGTATTTTGAGATCAAAGTGACAAGATATTATTGAAACATTTCAAAATACATTCAAAGTTTAAATATGGGGAGAAAGTGACATTTCTTTAGTAGTATTATTATTTACTTCACTCAATTTCGTAAACAAATCTAACCAACAATTTTTTTTAAAAATATCAATACAAAAAATGTCATAAATAGTTTTTCCTCTTGAGGTTATGAACATAAATGATGACACCATTTAAGTATAATTTTTCTCTTAAATATTCATACTTCAAATTTAATATGTGCATGACAGTAATAAGGATTACCATAAATATTTTAATATTTTATCTTTATACGTAATCTATCTTTTACCAATTAATATTTGAGTAATACTATCATAGAGAGGTAATTCTACAAAAAAAAGGTACTTTATTGTTATAACGAATGATGGTTAAATTGAGGTTTGAGTGTATGTCAAATATTTAGCTTGAAAAAAATCTTTGTTTTAGATATACATATATATATTTCAGTAGAATAATTTAATTTTAATATATGAACAGCATCACCTTTGGTGAAAAATATTCATTTCTTTAAGTTTCTATCTTATCTTTGTAGAATTATATTGTAGTCTTCTCCTTTTTCCTGTCGCATATATATCATATAGTTGTTGTCTAATGAAACTAACTAGTATCTTATAGAAGTTATATCATGATATAAAATATTAAACTTTTTCAATAATAAAAATTAATAGATGAATAAATTTAAAGTATTGTTTATAGAATCTTTAATTTGATTTAAGATTATTTTATGATCAATCACTGTTTTCTTATCTATTTTTATATAGCTAACAATGAGTGTATCTTGTGACATAAAATTTTCTCAAATTAAAATGAACACAAAATAATAGGAAAAAAATATATATGGAACATACATAGCCAATGAAGAAGGAAGACGAAAATATATGTTCATTCTATATTCACTGTAGAGTTCCGTTTGATTAAAATTTCATGTCACCAACACTTTAGTTTCTTCATTCATTTTTACTTACATATCTATTAAAAAATTATTATTATCATATTATAAGTAAAAGTGAAAAGCTATTTTTGAAATAGTGGATTTAACAGCAAAACTAATGATTCAATGGACTACGTTGATGCCCGTTGTTTTAGCAAAATCAGAAAGAAACTGCTTCATTTGAGGGTAAAAAATCAAAAAATAGAAAATCAAAGAAGAAATATCTTACCCAGATCGTGTGACTTTATTCATATTTGTTTGTTATTATTGTCTTTCCCACAACATTTTGTCACTGTTAACTCATGGAAATCGTAAGAAAAAATACGAGTATGAATTTATGAATGATTTGCTACAATTTATTCATCAACTCTTTCTTATGTGGTACCTTGAATTTGGTTGAATTTTGAACTTAATCAACTGTTACAAATAACCCTGAGATTTTTTAAGAAGAAGAAGAGTAGAAAACTTTAAAAAATTATAGTTAAAAGTGAGAGGACACCCTCTATTTATAGCTAACAAATAGTAGTATTAATAGGTGTTAATTGTTCCTTATCAGAAAAGTTACAACCTTTCGAAAAAGTGACTGCATATCGGAAAAATCACAACCTTTTGCAAAAGTCACAACTCGCCAGAAAAGGCACAACCCTTTGAAAAAGTCAAAATCATTTGAAAAAATCCCAACCCTTTAATATGAAAGGATATCTACATTTAATATAATACAAATAATTAAATAATATAAATTGAATTTTTTTAATTGGGGGTATTATAGTAATTTAACATTCAATTTAGGAGTTCATGCTTTTAAGGTAGTATATATATATATATATGATGACTCACTTGATTATTACAAAGATCTGTTTATTGACTATTATGATGATGAGTCCAACCTTTTTTTTTCTGTCCAACATGAGTAATGTGATCAACATTTATAGTTTGAGGACAGATTCTTGGAAAACACTCCATGACCAGCTTTAGGGCATCTTTCTAATAAATTTTCTAGGTAAACATGTCAATGGGAAGCTTCTTTGGATTGCATCAACTAGTTTTTTGTAATTTCAATGTGCGCAAGATCATTTCTTTTGATGTAGCAAACGAGACACGGAGTAGCTTGGAGCTTCCCATTTGTGGAGAAGTCAT